ATCCATCTCTACCCTCTGACAAACAGAGGCTAGGGATGCCCTTCTTATCCATCCCTGCAAATATCCATTAACGGACTTAACCTGCATGAATTTATCCAGTTCTCTTTTAAATACTGTTATAGTCCTAGCCTTCACAACCTCCTCAGGCAAGGAGTTCCACAAGTTGACTGTGCGCTGTGTGAAGAACTACTTCCTTTTATTTGTTTTAAACCTGCTGCCCATTAATTTAATTTGGTGCCCCCTACTTCTTATATTATGGGAACAAGTAAATAACTTTTCCTTATTCACTTTCTCCACACCACTCATGATTTTATATACCTCTGTCATATCCCCCCTTAGTTTCCTCTTTTCCAAGCTGAAAAGTCCTAGCCTCTTTAATCTCTCCTCATATGGGACCCGTTCCAAACCCCTAATCATTTTAGTTGCCCTTCTCTGAACCTTTACTAATGCCAGTATATCTTTTTTGAGATGAGACCACATCTGTACGCAGTATTCAAGATGTGGGCATACCATGGATTTATATAAGGGCAATAAGATATTTTCCATTTTATTCTCTATCTCTTTTTAAATTATTCCTAACATCCTGTTTGCTTTTTTGACTGCCGCTGCACGCTGGGAGGACGTCTTCAGAGAATGGTCCACAATGACTCCAAGATCTTTCCTGATTAGTTGTAGCTAAATTAGCCCCCATCATATTATATGTATAGTTGGGGTTATTTTTTCCAATGTGCATTATTTTACATTTATCCACATTAAATTTAATTTGCTATTTGTTGCCCAATCCCTTAGTTTTGTGAGATCTTTTTGAAGTTCTTCGCAGTCTGCTTTGGTCTTAACTATCTTGAGCAGTTAAGTATTGTCTGCAAACTTTGCCACCTCACTGTTTACCCCTTTCTCCAGATAATTAATGAATAAGTTGAATAGGATTGGTCCTAGGACTGACCCTTGGGGAACACCACTAGTTACCCCTCTCCAGTCTGAAAATTTACCATTTATTCCTACCCTTTGTTCCCTGTCTTTTAACCAGTTCTCAATCCATGAAAGGATCTTCTCTCTTATTCCATGACAACTTAATACATAAGAGCCTTTGGTGAGGGACCTTGTCAAAGGCTTTCTGGAAATCTAAGTACACTATGTCCACTGGATCCCTTTTGTCCACGTGTTTGTTTGACCCCTTCAAAGAACTCTAATAGATTAGTAAGACATGATTTCCCTTTACAGAAACCATGTTGACTTTTGCCCAACAATTTATGTTCCTTGTGTCTGACAATTTTATTCTTTACTGTTGTTTCAACTAATTTGCCCGGTACTGATGTTAGATTTACCAGTCTGTAATTGCCGGGATCACCTCTAGAGTCCTTTTTAAATATTGGCATTACATTAGCTATCTTCCAGTCATTGGGTACAGAAGCTGATTTAAAGGACCGGTTATAAACCATAGTTAATAGTTCCACAATTTCACATTTGAGTTCTTTCAGAACTCTTGGGTGAATGCCATCTGAGCCCGGTGACTTGTTACTGTTAAGTTTATCAATTAATTCCAAAACCTCCTCTAGTGCCACTTCAATCTGTGACAGTTCCTCAGATTTGTCACCTACAAAAGCCGGCTCAGGTTTGGGAATCTCCCTAACATCCTCAGCCGTGAAGACTGAAGCAAAGAATCCATTTAGTTTCTACGCAATGACTTTATCGTCTTTAAGTGCTCCTTTGGTATCTCGATCTCCAGGGGCTCCACTGGTTGTTTAACAGGCTTCCTGCTTCTGATGTACTTAAAAAACATTTTGTTATTACCTTTGGAGTTTTTGGCTAGCTGTTATTCAAACTCCTTTTTGGCTTTTCTTATTACATTTTTACACTTAATTTACACTCCTTTCTATTTACCTCACTAGGATTTGACTTCCACTTTTAAAAAGATGCCTTTTTATCTCTCACTGCTTCTTTTACAAGGATGTTAAGCCATGGTGGCTCTTTTTTAGTTCTTTTAGCACAGCGGTTCTCAAACTATTGCACTGGTGACCCCTTTCACATAGCAAGCCTCTGAGTGCAACCCCCCTTATAAATTAAAAACACTTGTTTATATATTTAACACCATTATAAATGCT